CTGTGCAGCCACAGGGTTGTTCCTTCAGGGCTGCCAACAATTTGGAGACAAGTACTGAGGAGAATTTGTATGTTTTCTGAACTAGCTCAACTGGGGAGTGGAGAGAAAGAAGCCATGACAGCCTGTACTGGAAAGAACAGTTGCAAAGAAACAATCCATGTGCTGCATCTCCTGTGAATTACCGCTGCTTTCCAACCGGTTCCTTCACAGAGGAAGACAGAGCTTAATGCCTTCCTTCCCCTTCTGATTATATTTAAACACCTTTATTTCTCACAGTTTATTTTCTCTTCCTGTCATCCTTCTGTCTCTGACAGGTTTCTCCTCCCCACAGACAGCCAGTTTTAATCAGCACCGTTCCTTTCTCCCTCCTGCTTCTCTCCCCCGTTCCATTTTGTCTCTGCCAGCATTTCTTTCTAATTCTGTAGTTGCACACTAGTTTATTAAAAAAAAAAGGTACAAAAAAGCTGTGTTCCCTCTTTTGGGCTGAAATCTAAATTTCTATAAAACTTTTCATCTGAATATCCACACTGAAAGTACCTAGCCTGATCTGGCAGTGACACAGGTCCAGGGCATCACCAGCAGACACCTTGAGCCTGATTCAGTTCCAGTCTGAGTGGACTGGGCTGCCTGAAAATGAGTTTATTCCACCCTGTTCAGCTCCCTGAAAGTCCATTCCTGCATCTGCTTTTGTAAAACACCATCACTGTACCCTTAAGACTGAGTCAAAAAAAGGCAGCGAGGAGGAGAGCTTTTGCATTAATTGCTTTTCAAAGACTTGATCAGGGTGGAAAAGAATCATGTCTAATAGATAAAATCTGGCCCCTTCTCCTCTACATCAGCTCTTAGCATGCTAGAAGACATGTTGGTTAAAAGTTTGGTATCCTCTCCAGATTAGCACTTCTGCCATGCTGATGCTGGCCTTGTGCAATTATAGGAAATAAAGAGAAAAATGCTTGCACAGTCGGCAACTGTTGATCCTCTGGATCATGGTGCACATGTAAGAGGTCTATAGTCAGATGCCTGATGAATCCACTTGTGGCTGACCAGCCCAATTCGAGAGCAACACAGGTTGTTACAAGTTTCACAGATTTGCATGTTGTCTAGGTTGTAGTTCAAATTTACAGCACGCTGCTTTCTTCTTTCTTGTTTTGCTTCCATCTTCTGGATCAAAGCAGCTTCATGTTGAGCTGCACCCAGTGCCAGACGTTCCCTCCAGATCGGACGGGATTCTACATGCCCCTCCCCGCTTTCTGCGTTGATGTTCAGTGACTTCATATCATTGTTGCACACACTGTGGTACTGCCATAGAGGGCAACCCTGCTTTCTAGAGCCATCTCAAATCTCACGATACAAAATATTCTTGGGGATATGGTCTCCCATTCTCCAGACATGGCCGATCCATCGCAACCTCCTCTACTTGATAGTGATTTCTAAGTGCGTCAGTCCTGTGCGCTCCAGAACCTCTGTGTTGCACAGACAAGCCTCCCTAACAAGTGCAAACTTTCTTCCAACAGAACAGTTTCCTCAGAGAAAGGGTAGAGGCCTCCTTGCTTGAGACATTTGAAATTCAAGTGGACAAAGCTCTATTTAATATCAAATAGATAGTAATACTAATTATTATCAAAGGTGGACTAGAGGGATCCTAATAGTTGTTTTCCTTCTCTAGAATCTAGTCTCTTCCCCTGTCTTATGCTTCACACCCTCCATTTTAGAACCTGTTTCTTCTTTAACACTTTCCTTTTTTTATTTGAACACTCTTTGTCTCTTTCCTTCCCCGCTTCTGCAAATCACCTGTTACCATCTTCTCCTGCCCATCCTTCCCCATCCTCTGTGACCAGATTTATTTTATTTTTAAGAGACATAGAAGTGAGCCCCTCTGTACAACAAGTACAAAATAATCCAATGCAGAATTGATATTATTTTGGAACCTATTCTGGGGGGAAAAAACAACTAAAAAAGGCCACTACTTCTCCCAAAAGTCAAATTTCAGTCAAAATAGTAGCCAGGATAAGAAAAATATCCTTTTCTTGGTAAATGTGATTCGGAAGATGAAAAGAGAGAGGAAGAAAGGGACAGCCTCTAGAAATGCCACAAAATATTTTAAGTAATCTCTTTGGAAAAGATGCATGATCCAATCAGGTAAAACACCACAAAGAATTGGTTATTTCGCTGTAGTGAAGCTGTGAATGGAGGTTACATTTAAAAGTGTAGTGAAAACACACATTTCCATTAAACAAATGGCTGATAAAACAAACATGACAATTCAGACAAACAGACGGCATACTCATCACTGGGCACGTCTACACGAGATGCTGACTGCGCAGCAACATATCACAGCACAGACAGTGTTAATACACTACCATGCAGTAGCATCACCTAAAATACATTCACCAGTGCTACTGCACAGTAGCTCCAGTGACTGTGCATTTATTTAGTAGCTGCAAGTACTTTACACATAATAAATAAGTGCACAGTAATGACTGCACAGTAGCATCTTGTGTAGATGTGTCCACTGTCTCAGACTTTTTGGAAACCTGTAATATAGTTGTGGTTGACACTATTAGTCTATGGCAGGTTGTACTGACCACCGTTAGTATAACAACTCGTCTTCGAAAGGAATCAGGTTTAGATTCTGAATGTTAATGTCTGTGCATGGCTTTGCGGATGCTGATGCTCAGTCAAGCTACATTCCAGACAGAAGACTCTATGGTCTATTCCCAAGGAATCTCCCCAGGAAAATCAGTGGGTGATCTATATATTTGAAAACAGGGAAATATCATCACATTTTTTTCTTTTGCACAGTTCACCGGTATAGAGCTTTGTGGATAGCTGCATATAAAAATATTACCATTTGAGTTTAAAAAAATGCTTCACTCGAGTTGCGATTATGAAAAATAGACTATTACGTTCAGATTTTCCACCAGCCTATTCTACCATTCCAGGTTCTGGTATGACAGAGAACACAAGAACTGGAGAAAGCTCATTAGAAGGTCAGAAAGCACATCTGAATATAGTATGGCCTAAGTCCATTCCAGCTGAAATCAACGGGAGTCCTTCCACTGGCTTCTGTGATTGCTGGCTCAGGCCAAAGATAAGCTAACTGCTGATCCTAAATATAATTTTCCGACTTTTGCTAAGGCTGAATGTTAAACAGCTTATTTCAACATGACTCCATTTCATCAGTCTCTCAATTCTCATTGAGAATATTTTTCTGGCACAATTCCATGAAACATCCCTTATTTTCTCCTGCTTGTTTGGCTTCAGTTGTAAAAATCAAAAATGCAGTTTTAAACATCTGCGAGTCGCTGCTGAGCAAAGGCAGAAGAAAAAACATAGCAGGATCAAATCAGAACAGTGGATTTTAGTTTTGTCATATATATATATATATATATATATGTGTATATATATATATAAAATGTATATTTTTATACTGATATATACATACTATATATATTCACATAATATAAATATACTCATATAATATTGTAAAAATATTAATTTAGCTCTAAATGTTAATACCTGATTAACTTAGCTCTGAAAGTTAATACCTGATTATGTGGATTAGCCTTATGCTGCTTTGATTTGACCACACTTCCAGTTAATAAGGTGGCCTTGTTAGAAGCCCTAAACCTAGAAGTACTTGAAACTGTCAAGAAATCAAAGAGAAAGCAGACTTGATTTCTGAGTGTCACCTCTTGCCACGCAGAGGAGTTAAGTTGGAGGAGGACTGTCGTATCTCAGCATCAGGCTGAAGGAACGGGCAAAGTTGTTGGCAAGCTTGCAGCTGTGTGTCTCTTCCGCCAGAGGAAGCAGGAATGCCAGGAGCAGCAGAAGCAGCAGGAGTAACTGTAGTGGCAACGCAGTCCAGCACACACGATGTAGGAAGGAACACATTCCCCCCGGGCGTTTCTGAAAGCCAAACAGGGATGATCCATTTATTCAGTGTAACAAGAAAAACAGATTAATAAAAGGGTGGAGGGGAAAAGGTGGAGGAGAAAACCCCTCAAACAGCACAGAATCAGAACTAATGGCGCTCATCTTGTCTGTGGCGAATCGGTCCCTATGATCCACTTTCTGGAGTGTTTTGACACTTTTGACACTTCTTGTGATGGAACTTAAATGACTTCTCTTAAGGTCATTCCACTTCCTAACAGACCTTGATATTAGGAACACATTTTCCTCTACAAAAGGTTACTAGGCTTCGCAGAAGCCTTTAATCAGTGTGTAGTTGTTATAAATCCTCTAAATCACCCATCCCAGGGCTGCCAGTGGATCTCTTCAGAGTGAATACAGGGGGAAAATCTGTTTAACAGTTATTATGCACAACCCAACAAAAGAATTGCCTCTTGGAAGAAGCCAGACTAATTTAAGCCCTCCTTCAGAAGAGGAGCTTTGCATGTCCCTTGACTTCATTACACAGAAGTCGTTCCAGGCTTTGGTTTGACCTCCTGGTCACAATCTGAGCCCCACTTCTCTTGTGCAGAGGATGGGTAAGAAAAGGCTCCTTCATTACAGCATCTCATGCTTTGTCAGACAAGTCCTGTCCTTACGAGATGCAAGAGAATGAAAAGGGAAAGAGGGGGAGGCACAAGAAATGGTGAAAGCTGAATTTCATGTGCAGAATTCCTTAAAATCACATTTGTGGCTTGGTGATTGTTCCCTAAGAAGGAAAGAAAGAGGAGTCAAAGTCTGCTCTCAACCATAGTGGAATAAATCCAGAATAACTCCATTAGCCATCTGGATTTAATCCAGATTTGGACCTGTCACAGAAAATACTTTGGACTTCAGGAAATACCAAGTAAGGGGGTTTGCAATAGGATTGCTAAAACTCTCTTTATAAATACCTAATTTTAAAAAGACTTACTTGCATGTACACATGCGGGTACATGCCCAAGATTTGTCATCTGTCTTTAAGAGGACCCTGAAAACACTAGGTTAAAAGAATCTAGGTACTTGGACAAGACAGCTTCTTCAACAGACATGGATTACACTGGGATCCCAGAAATGTTATGAAGCACTTACAACACTATTGCTTACCTGCATACTTTTCAAGTATTAACTAATACATTTTTACAATGCCCTTGTGAGGTGCTGTTAACTACATTTCACAGATGAGGAAATGAAGGCAGGGAAGTTCAGTGACTTGCTGAAAGCCACAGGATCCTCAGAATGCCTGGCTCCTATTTTTGCCCCGAGTATTAGGCAGTATCTGTCTCCTACTGTATTACTCTATAAATGGCCCTCAGGACACATCGGAGAAAGTAATGGCAGTGATCCCAGACACAGACCATTCTACTAGGACAACTAACTCTGGATATTTCCAAGGTCCTTCCATTGGTAGCAAAGCTCCTCAGTCCTGCTGCTCTACATCAGGGTGTCAAAGATTTGGCCCAGAGAGTTCAGGGGAATTCTTTGGAATAGAGGGCCCCAATTGACAGCTTGGGGACTTGTTTTGTGCCCAGACGTTCGCCACTGCCACTGGGCTCCTGCCACTGCTCCTGGATCCCTGCCACCACCAAATCTGCTTCAGACACCACTGCCCTAGACCCACCACAGCTGCTACTGGCCCTGCAAATCCAGCCTGGAAGGAGCTGTCTGGTCCAAATCCAGCCCAGAGCAGGAGGTGAATTTGACACCCCTGCTCTATATAAATGCTGGAACACTTATATACATTAATTATCAGTGCACACAATCCACATACAGCCTTAAAGCATGAGATAGTGATGTGGTGAAAGCATTCTGTTACATCTGCTTTATTTCTGTTATCAAATGACTGACAGAGATTTAATTACTGTGTCAGGCAGATGTTAAAGCGTTCGAGTGACAGCTGCTTGCTCTGCCATTTCTGACCTGCTGCACTGTCCTGGGTTAAGGCCTGTTGGAAAGCCCACTCAAGTCGAGGAAGATTCCGAGGGCCTAGCAGAATAGACAGAGTGGGTGTTTCATCTGTTTGGGTTCATCTGTGGCTTCTGAGAAAATGTTAGAAAAAACTGACAGTCTGATATAAACGTCCCTCAAGGAATGTCAGTGAGCATAGCTGGCATTTTCAGGGCAGATCTTCACTTCGCTGACCTTGGCAGCATTGCAGGGGTCGTTTCTTCTCATGGATGAACTATTTCTGAAGAGTGCCCAAAGTACTAGCCAGCTTAATGGGATTTCCTGTTTTACTACTATAGGCCAATCCTGTAACTCTGAAATGAGACTTTTCTCTGAGTAAAGATGGATACAACTAGAAGAGCTTCCACTCTGCGCTCTTACACTGATTGCAACAGGACTCTGTGAAGTAGGGTACAAGGCAACATTGAACAAGGGTGAGGTCCCAGACTTTTCTGGGACGTCAGATACACACAGACTGATTCAAAACCTCTTTGGTTTGATCTATGCCAGTCAATGGAAATTTTACTAAGTCTATCTACACTGATCACAATTATTTTATAATTTTCCACTGATCTTCTCATATACTGCTCTATTGTACAGCAGTATGGCAGAAACACTAGTTCTAGGATCCCAATCTTTCAGAAAGGATTCTTTTTTTCCGAGTCCAGAGCTATACAAAACCAGCCCATGTTTACTTTTATTAGTCAACAGTAGTAGTATTGTTTGGTGGAAGATATAAGGAGAAATTGTCTTTGCCTTGCAAAAATGCAAGAAAAGTTTCTTCCACTCTCAGAAAATAATCACTGATATATCAGAAACAACATAGAGGAAGTACTGCTCTCTCTGATATCAATGTTACTAGACAGGACCCTGTGATAGTAAACAACTCAATGTGGGAGGGACATTATAGGTGGGATATTCAAAATCAGCTAAAGAGTTATGAACACAACCCCTCCCTGCCCCCAAATTTAGTGTGACCTGTATTCCTAGCTTCCTTAGGAGCTCCTGGAAGCCCTATGCTATCACTCTTCAGATTTTAGTGTTGCTTCTGAAACTTGCCTTAGATTCAGAGCTATTCTTTACTTGCCAAACCAGTGGCTCTGCCATCACCCTCTTTTAAAAATCTATTTCTGCTTCACACTAGAGAGAAAAGCACTGGGCTTCTCCAGCTGTGGGCCATCTCCACTTCTACCACCTTCCAAACCATTCCTTAAGGGGTCTAGGTCTTCCTTAGTCTCTGCCTGGATGAGCATGTCACCAAGACACACAAGCTCCCACTCACTCTCTGAAATGTGACAACTTTCTTAGGGAGTGGTAGGAAGAGACAGTTAGTCACTGAGAGGGAGAGACCCTGCTTAACCATAAACTGATGCTCAGTGGTGGTAAAGAAGAGTTCATGAAAACTGCCTTTCAGCTTCTATGGCCTGCCTGAATGCTCCTATATTTGTACCCAAAACAGCCCAAAAGGGAGGAAACAAAGCCATGATTTTAGCAGTCTCACACCAGCCTCAGAGATGGAGATAGGTTCATCTTGTGCAGAAGTGTAGCAGTAGATTAATTCCCGTGCTGAACCCAAGATACCCAGGAGAACTGGTCTCCTAGGTGGAATCCTCCATGCTCTCTTTAGGCTGGTGTGATGCTGTACTTTACCCAAGAGAGAGGCACGCTTAATGAGCTAGCTAAAGTGTTGATTGAGCTTCATGCAGTGTTTGCCTGCAGGAGATGTGGCCACACATGCATTCGGGCTAGAAGAAACATCATTTCTACTTTGGCTATAACTGACTCAGTATGTAACCTTGGACAAGTTCCTGCCTATGGCTCAATTTTCTCATCTGTAAAACAGGGGTTGGTAATACTGATATAAATTGCAGACTATAGCTGAAATATCATTGCTTGTATAGAGACACTGTAAAATAGTATTGACTTTCGGAGTCTTCTCCATGAATTTTGCTGACACTAAAGTATTTCTTAAGCTATGAGTTAATTTCATTGGGGCTTTTTGCAATACAAGATACTGTCATGGAGACTAATAGTAGATAAATATGCCATTAAATAATTTAGACTAGTGTAGAAGGAAGAATTTTTATACTAGATCAAAACTTGGAGGAAAGTGAGTTTACTGTGCCTGAAGCTGCTAGCCTATAACTGGTACCACTGTATAAAGAACTTTTTCCTTCTTTATCTGACTTCTCTGTTTTGCCTGATCACACAGAGGGGTCATAATCTTGTGCTTCTGACTGTTCGTTGTCATGGAAATGACTGTATTATCACAAACACAGCATTATGATGTCTCTGCAGGATCAAAGAGGGGGAGCACATGGGTTGTGAAGGTTTGCGGCTTACATCAAATTTGAAATGATAAGTCCATAATACCTAGCTTGTACACTGAAGCCAACTCCAATTAACTTTGCTGGCTGCAGCAGGGTTTTGCACCTGGAAAACTAAACATATTCTGAATTGGAACACCTAAGTCATGGAAGCAGGCAGAAATATTGATTTCAAATTCAAAATAGGGATGCTGACTTCTACTGGGCAAGATCCTGATGTCCTAGAGGATGCTGAAGAGTGAACTACTCCCAAGTCAATGCTGTTGCTGACAGCTGGTTGGAACACTTTCAACAACATGAAATTTTAGTACATTTAAAACTTAGTTTTGAAACAAGACTTTGTCAACATGGCTTCCTAGGTGTACAGTGGGAGAGCAAAGGTCTTTCATGCCATATATCTAGGTCACTTCCTGGGAATGTGGGAGACTCAGGCTCAAACCCCAGCTTGGCCTAGATTAGAGTGATCAGGAATGAAAAACTTTGCTCTGAATCAGGCAGAACATGGCATCGTCTTCATCTTCAGTCACTGTCCCATCACACTCTCACTCTCTGATTTTGTCAAATGATTTCTTGAATCAGAAAAGGGACTTTATTTATCCAATTTTGCAAAAAAATGCCGGAAAGGTTTTGGTTTCATGCAATGACAATATATTTTGGAACCTCAGAAATGGAACTGTCATTTGTTGTGCAGCTCTGTTTCAGGTT